CATCATCGACAGAGGTTCGGTCATTTTTAAAACGTGAATGCCACACAAAAGTTTGTGCACGACCCATTGCGGACTCCCCAAATGCTTGCTTTAGCATTTCATAGGTTTCCGTAGCCGTTTTGGCGAGTCTTTGGCAAAATTTGATTTGTTCATGAAAATCCGCCATTCCGAAATCGCAGGAGGGTCGGTGTAATGCACTACCAAAACGCCCATAACTAAGAAACAAATGCTAATTCGATGATGCCGGCTGGCACACTGATTCACTATGAATGTAGGCCGCACCCCCTAGCGGCAGAAGCTCGTACTACATCCGGTTCGCCCGCTATTGACAGTCTTAAAACTTTCCGATCGCACCTCGTACATGACAGTGACCAGTACTTAACATGATGTTAGATACAGTCACACTGTTTTGTGAATAATTTTAGCAGCAGTTACTGTTGGCACTTGGCAGTAAGTCTTGCAGTTCTCACTTAGAGTCAGGAAGTGACTGTTATAGTCATTGTCATCAGTCAACATATAACACACTGTATTTGACTGTCTCATGTCTTATCTCAGAACTATTTGGCAGATTTGTGTGAAGTTTGGTATTAGGTGTTGCACTAAAGTCAAGTAAACTTGATTTTAGTTCATCTTTGGCAGATATAAACCCTAAATAAAGTTTGATTTCCTCAGAAATGGTTCATTGTGCATTGAATGAGTCCATAGAAGGGTAGTTCTCATTGAGACTAGTAACTATTTTTTTGAAGCATCTTCTTCAACATGGTGATTACTTATAATGAATTACAAGGATAATAATTCCTGACTCTTACATGGTTTTAAAACTTTTATTCACTTTGTCTAAAGAACATATGAAATTAAGAAAAAAACGACTCTAGGAAATTAATTCTGCCATGTGGTATAGATTGTTTTATCTTTACCCAAAAAGTAACTTAAGTGATAGTGTATAATTGATTTCATATACCATTTTTAAGTTTCTTGCCTAAAGGTCAGAACAGGTATCAATACTATGTGAGAACAAAGACCATTTGTGTCTGAGGGAGATAAATGAACATATGAGTGGAGGAAATTGCATGATGAGAGCTTCATAATTCATATTATTCGTCTAGTTTAGAAGGGTGAAACATGGTTTTTAACTTTAAAGGAAGAAGTCAATTGCGAGTGTTTGAAAACAAAGACCTCATGTTCTGTAGTATTCAGTTAGCCATAGCAAGGAAGTTATGATGGGCTAGTCATGTAGCTCACTTGGGGGATACAAGAAGTGCATGTGGAATTTTTCTGTGAAAATTACAAGACTATGGAGCAGATTAATTGCAGTTTAGAGATGTAGATTATGAAGTCAAGATTTGTGTCTTGTGATGGCATGATCATGAATCCTTCAGTTCCCTTGTGGGATAATGAGATAGTTATCAGGCCTACCTGACTTCACTGCAAATTTCATAAGCATTTATCATTATATTGTCTCTTACTGACAGTATTAATCTTAACAAATGCTGTTAACCATATTCCAGGATGAGCTCAGTGCTTTAAGTAAGGATGAAGTGGAGGAGCCTGTGCCCCATCATGTAGCTGAAGGCTTATCAGTTGGCCCTGGTAACATGGAACTTTCCTTAGTGGCCATGCTTGAAGAGAGACTCAAAATGTACCAGGAAGCTGAAGGCAGTGCAAAGGCTGCTGGTGAGACTTCCAGGGCAAGAAGGTAATATAAGCAAAATGTGGTTTGTTCTTCATTGTTTCTGCAATTGTAGACTTTCATGATCCCACTGTGGGAACAGACATTGCGTTGTAGTAGCATGATATTGATGAAGCAAGTTTCTCTCTTGCAGAGATTAACCCTTGTCTTTTTCCTTTCAAGGTAAAGCTGAAGTAGTACATTTGAAATAGGTCACATCACTTGCCCACACACCTCTTTCAGTTTATTATTCAAAATCATTCTGACATCTCACATTGTTGTATACAAACACAGAACATTAACTATATAGGATTATCAGCATAAATACATAAGTTAACCACTGGACTGTCATTAGGCAGCTAAACCCTATTCACATGAACTCAGCCTTTTATTTGATGTTATGTAGTCTGAACTAAGGACAGCACAGTAAATGAGCCATAAATAAAACAAATAAGCCAGTTTGTACATAAAATCCATTTTCCATCTAAACTTTGGCCTCCTATGCAGTTTCTCATTGCAAGGTTCACACATAATTTTTTTAAAGATGTACAAATACCCAGATTTTTAAATGTAAGTTTCTCTTAAATGTGTATTGTGATTTTCACATAGGATTTGAGGGTTTTATGGTGGTGAGTCTGAAGATGGCTGTCTTCTGGGTTGTTGTGCCATGTAGTCTTGTAGAAGGTTACTGACGTTTCAGAGGTCCTGGTGGGAGCAATAAACTCTCAAAAACATTGGCAAACTTCTACTAGACTACACAGCGCAACAAACCAGAAGACAGCCATCTCCTGTGATTTTTATTTTGAGGTTTTCCACTTGTTCCTATTGTTGTTGTGCACCATTTCCCCACACATGTATGCATGTACATACATTCATTTATTATGACCCTCAGGAAAGATCCTCTGGTCCATTAGATAGGAAGCTGAGTCGGCCCCAAATTTGGTCTGAAAGAAGTGGCAAAGAAACAAATTCCTACTCTCCAGATCTTGGACTTGACATTCATTATTGTTTGCATTTCATTCAGATTCATGAATGTACCCATTTAAATTCTTAAATGAAAAAATAAGTTATAGAAGGAGTTTTATACATAATTTCCTTCAGTTATTGCCAATTTCTTCTATCAGAAAATTTTTAGATACGAGGTGCGATCGAAAGGTTTCCAGACTGCGCGTATAAAAACCCGTACACTTATCTCAGGTATTAAATTCATCCATCACCCTCGAAGTAGTTCACCTGGGAGTGAACACAACGATCCCAGCGCCGCTGCCAAGCCTGGAAGCATCCCTGGAAATCTTTCTTTGTCAGCCTGTCAAGCACCATCTGCGATTCTGCCTGAATCTCTTCTATCGTCTCAAATCTCCTTCCCTTTAGCTGAATTTTCATTTTTGGGAAGAGGAAGAAGTCACACGGAGCTTAGAAAGGAAGTTGGGGTCGGTTCTTGCAAGATCTTTTAGCTCCTGACAAACGAGAAGTCGATTCTGCTTCTGGTCCTCAGACAGGAGCCTTGGTTTCGCATGTGGAGTTCTTCCTTTAGAATCAGCTGACCGGTCCCATAGCCTATCCCAACAATGTCGGACAAGTCGTTTATGGTACGACGTCGATCTTCGTGAATGGCCTGCCGAATCTTCGTAACATTTTCGGGCGTTGTGCTCGAAGATGGTCGTCCAGAACGCTCGTCATCATCGACAGAGGTTCGGCCAATTTTAGAACGTGAATGCCACACAAAAGTTTGTGCATGACCCATTGCAGATTCCCCAAATGCTTGCTTTAGCATTTCATAGGTTTCCGTATCCGTTTTGGCGAGTCTTTGGCAAAATTTGATGCACACGCCATTCCGAAATCACAGGAAGGTCGGTGTAATGCACTACCAAAACGCCCATAACTAAGAAACAAATTCTAATTCGATGATGCCGGCTGGCACACTGATTCACTATGAATGTAGGCCCAACCCCTTAGTGGCAGAAGCTCGTACTACATCCGGTTCACCCTCTATTGACACAGTCTTGAAACTTTCCGATCGCATCTCGTATACCATATGTACCAGTTGTATACCATATGAATGTTTGTAATTTTGAACATATAAGAAATAATTTACACATATTTTGAATGTATGTTTATATTGCTTGCACATACCAAATATAACATACCTGGCTGCAATGAGTCTTTTATTGCTGCTGTCAGATGAAAGGTAAATTTAAAATTTTCACTGCCATAATATTATTTTGCAGTCTACAAAAATGAACTGAACAACTATTACATATTTTTCAAATATGATAAAAGAATTTAAAAACCCTACATTACATTGTGTTATCTGTCTCAGAAACTCTCGTAACTGCCGTGCTGTCATTGTTGATGGTAGGGAATTAAAAAGTATGATTGTTAGTTGCTTCTGTAGTGAGACATTGCTCTTTTGTTTGGCTGTGTATATAAAATAAGGAAAGATAATAAAAGTTACTAACATTTAACTTCATGATTTGTATTGCTTTGATTCTCATTACTTCCAGACTTCTCATGACTGACAAAATCTTTTCAACCAGCTAACCACATTATTTTGAAACAGACTATTTGCTAAATTTTATTACTTTTAGTTGCCATTAACACTTTTGGCAAAATGTTTGGACATTATCAATCATCAGTTGTTTATCATAACATTCCAGGGACTGGATCTGTCCCCATCATCAGGTAATATAAGGGGGACAAAAGGGTTCTTACTGTTTGGGGTCCCTTAGAAGGAGCTAGTCTTCATCTCTGGACACCTACTGCTACCCTTTGTAGGTATGTTGTGCTAGCTTGGATTTTTGCATCCACTCCTGCTTGAGATTTTGGCAGCTTCTTTATTTTATGCTTTACTAATCTTCTAAAATTTTTATTTAGGTTTTAGGTGTTGATGTTTCTCACAGATGAAATGTAACACAAGGAGTGTATATACCCGGCATGGACACCAGTAGGTGTTCAGGGATGGAGATTAGTTCCTTCTGAGGGACCTCACAGAGTGGGAACCCTTTTGCCCCCCTATTTTACCTGATGATGGAGGCAGGTCCAGAACTCAAAATGCCATTTCATGAGAAACAACATATAATGGATAATGCCCAAAATTTTAGCCAAAACTATTACAATATACCATTCTTAATGTCCTTTAGAATGCCAGTAATACTTCATGTTGTATATGCATGATGAAGTGCTTGTGAAGCTAATTACTGCTTTGGCTACACAGTGAAAGGACCACAGTCTTTATATACAGGCATACCTTGGAGATATTGTGGGTTCGGTTCCAGACCACCGCAATAAAGTGAGTCATATGATTTTTTTGGTTTCCCAGTGCATATAAAAGTTATGTTTACACTATACTGCAGCCTATTAGTGTGCAATAGCATTATGTCTAAAAAAAACAATGCGAGATCATTGCGGGAATTACCGAAATGTGACACAGAGACACGAAGTGAGCACATGCTGTTGGAAAAATGGCGCCGATAGACTTGCTCGATGCAGGGTTGCCCCAAACCTTCAATTTGTAAAAAACGCAATATCTGCGAAGCACAATAAAGTGAAGTGCAATAAAACGAGGTATGCCTATACATTAGGATTATGAAATCAAACTCTACTCAAACCATATGTATTTGCTTTTTTTATATTACTCCGAGGGAGTACAGACATTGTGGATTGATCGCTTATCACTTGAGTCCTGTTGCAAGTGTACATAGGATTTAGAAAATATCTGTAATTACAGGCTATTGAGTTAGTGAAGAAGAGTGCAGAAGACTTGAAATTTTCTATTTATTCTTAAACGTTAATACATCATGCTGATTTTAAAGTCAGATGATTGGAAGTTTCATAATGTGACATTAAGAGATAATATTAACATTAAAATGTATATTAAGCATGAAATAATTTAAGAAATAAATATTTGTACTTTAGTAGCACGTTGTATTAGAATATGTATGAGTGAGGAAAATTGTAGAAGTGTGTTATGATTTCTTCATGATACGAGGTGCGATCGGAAAGTTTCTAGACTGCGCCTATAAAAACCCGTACACTTATCTCAGATATTAAATTCATCCACCATCCTCGAAGTAGTTCCCCGGGGAGGGAACACAACGATCCCAGCGCCGCTGCCAAGCCTGGAAGCATCCCTGGAAATCTTTCTTTGTCAGCCTGTCAAGCACCATCTGCGATTCTGCCTGAATCTCTTCTATCGTCTCAAATCTCCTTCTCTTTAGCTGAATTTTCATCTTGGGGAAGAGGAAGAAGTCACACGGAGCTAAATCCGGCGATCCGGCAAGATCTTTGAGCTCCTGTCAAACGAGAAGTTGATTCTGCTTCTGGTCCTCAGCCCGGATCCTTGGCCCAAACTTGGCTGCGATGCGTTGCATGTGGAGTTCTTCCTTTAGAATCAGCTGACAGGTCCCATAGCCTATCCCAACAATGGTGCACAAGTCGTTGATGGTACGACGTCGATCTTCGTGAGTGGCCTGCCGAATCTTCATAACATTTTCGGGCGTTGTCCTCGAAGATGGTCGTCCAGAACGCTCGTCATCTTCGACAGAGGTTCGGCCATTTTTAAAATGTGAATGCCACACAAAAGTTTGTGTACGACCCATTGCGGACTCCCCAAATGCTTGCTTTAGCATTTCATAGGTTTCCGTAGCCGTTTTGGCGAGTCTAATTCGATGATGCCGGCTGACACACTGATTCACTATGAATGTAGGCCGCACCCCCTAGCGGCAGAAGCTCGTACTACATCCGGTTCGCCCTCTATTGACACAGTCTTGAAACTTTCTGATCGCACCTCGTAATCTAGCTTTGTCACTATTATTCTAATAAAAATTATTTGTCTGAAACCATATTGGTAATTTTTGTCATTGTATGTATTCTATTCTGTCTCCCTTCATCTCTTTTTCTCTGGTGAGATAGTAAGCATTATACTGTATTTCAGGTTTGGTCGTGGTATCAAGACACTCAATGACCTTCTAAAACAAGCCCTTTCAGGAAAAGCAGTCAGTGAGGAAGAGATACCTCCTCCTGTGGTGACTGTTGCAGGGAAGAAATCTGTTGAACCCGATCTTCCTTCTTCAGCACGATCACCTCCTTCAAAAGAACTTCCTGTACCATCACGCCCAGCACCACCACCTCCAGTTTCAGTCCAGCCACCTCCTGTACCACCCCATCCTCCATTAGGAGTTCCTTTGCCTGGCATTGTTGCAGATGACATAAACAACAGTACATCCCAGTCTCCTGTAGAATTGACAGGGGAAGGTAGTAAGACACTGAACATGCTGAAGGAACGGCAAAGCCAGTACAAGCAAGCTGCATTACAGGCCAAGAGGGCAGGCAACAATACATTAGCCATCCAGTATGTCCGTACAGTCAAGGTATTGTTAATTAATGTGAAAGGAAGGCATCCTAGTAGAAAGTGTTACAGAATGTAAAAAAGGCTAATAAATAATGAAAAATAGTCAACATGCAAGTTGTACTGAAGAAGTCAACTTGGTAAGTGGCTTGGTTGCTTTGCACTGATAAAGAGGTTGCTATGAAATCTGTTTCTTTTTTGTACATGTATAGTAACAAAGTAAACTCATAAATATGTTTAATGCAGGGAATATTTTACTGTTCTCTCTCAGTTTTCACACATTGTAAACCAAAATAATGTTTGTTTGAATGCACACTGTGAACCAGTTCCTTAATGTTACTTATGTTAAATCTAGCTTACCACTGATATTCTAAAAAAAGAAGTATTTCATTATCTGATGACACATATTAATTTTTATCTGTGTACGTTCTGTTTCATCTGTCTTCAGCTCTTTTTTTGGTAGGGCGTTATACACAGTGAATAACCAATTTATATTGTATTTGTTTCTGTTGAATATCTTGTATTGACTTGTATGAAGCAGCCTCTGAGGTTCTCATATGGCTATCTTCTGGTTTGTAGTGCTGTGTAGTCTGGTAGAAACATACTGGTGTTTCAGAGATCCCTGCTGCCTCCATCATCAGGGCATTGAGTGAGGCCATCATTGTCTTAGTGATGACAGCAGTAAGTACCTCTGAAATGTCAGTAAACTTCTACCAGACTACATGCTGCTACAACACAGAAGACAACCATCTTTGAACCCATTCTTGGTCAGAATAATATGCTCCTCTGGACAGTTGATGAGTTCCACATTTGTGCACCACAGCAATTTGATCCTGTAATAGCAGCACTGCAGGAAGGCCAGCCAGTGGATTTGAGTGCAATGCCACTGCCTCCACCAGACTTTGTGGTACCTGCATCAGCATTAAGTGGGCAGAAAGAAGAAGGTGAAAGGCAGTGTACATCTGAGGAGGTCCCAGCACTGGTAAATGACCAGGTGGTGCCACCCACTGAGCTAACAGAAACAGCACCATTGGTTGAGTCAGAAGTGGATATTTATTCTGCCCCACCAGCACCAACTACAGTGATGGAAGCATTGGAACAACGTCTCCTCAAGTATCGCAGTGTTGAACAGGCTGCTCGTGATGATGGAAATACCAGCAAAGCCCGCCGCATGGGTCGTATTGTGAAGCAGTATGAGAATGCCATCAAGTTACATAATGCAGGCAGACCAATTCCAGTGGATGAACTACCCAACCCCCCAGGTATATTACAGGCACACTTTGATACCATAACAGAACTGTTCAAGTATTTCACATTGGATGTAGTCTCTTGTCATTCTAATCTATTGTTTCGACACTCACTGCTGTCTTGGTCTAAGATTCAGGTACAGTAATGAGGTTTATCTTCAAGGGTTGACCAGGTGTAAGAAATCACAAGTTATGAAATAAGGTATTACAGAAAATCTGAAAGTTAGTTAAAATTTGATTAATATAAACTTGGAGAAGAGGTACCATTGACGACTATTCGTATTCTGATAGGATCCTGATTTATTGATGATAAACTGCAATATTGCTGATTCTATTTAATTACAAAAATGGTCTATTGACATAGTTAAAATTAGTAAGTGATGAGCTTGGTAGTCAGATTTGAAGCAGTTACATATCTGGCTTGCATATAATTTCATCTGTATGCAGGTGACAAAAATATTTTAACTGTGTCTACTTGAAAAACAAGATTTATTATTATAAAATCTTATAAAAATACGTTGCATATATATGTGTTTGGTGTTGCCATATTATTATTCGGGACATGTAGCGCGCATGGATGGGACAAGAGGTGTGCACCGGATATTGGTTGGGAAGCCTGAGGGGAAGAGACCGCTGGGGAGACCTAGATGTAGATGGGAGGATAATGTCAGGCGGGATCTATGGGAGATAGGAGTTGAAGGAGACTGGATTTTGTTGGCCCAGGACAGGGTCCATTGGAGGACTTTGGTTAATTCGGTAATGAACCTTCGGGTTCGGTAAGCCATCTAGTTAGTTACTTAGTTGCCATATTATTGGCTGTAAAGAAGGAACCTAAAGAGGTCTTGTATTCATGTCTTTTTGAATGTTTGCAAGTCTAGAGATTTGCATTGACAAGTCTGGTGCTTGGTCTCAGAATAATACTGAAAAATCCACATTTTGGTCCTGGTTTGAACTATGATATGATCAGAATAAATTGCCTTCCTCCTCAGTTCTGTATCATCAGTCAACATTTTCATAACCATGTGCACACAAACTGTCAACATGTTGAAGGTTCCAACTAAAATTTATTATATAATTTTGTTTGACACTTTAAAATATTTTGTTATTAATTGGACTCTAATTGTGATTCTCCCCCAGCATTAACTTTTTTTTTTACATTATCTTCCCTGCATCTCATAAAGCATTCAAAAGTTTTTGTTCTTGACTAAGCACAATTTGTATGATTATACAGACTTTTGAAATATGACATGGAATTGAAGATAATTTTTGTTTGAAAACTGGCTGCCAGAATATGACGGACAAACAAGATCAACCTTCAATAAAAATTGTATATATTCAGTAACAATGTCTTGTGTTTCTAAAATGCTGCGATAGGCTTCTTAAATTATTAGAGATTCATTTGTAATTAAATTATTCACTTTAAGGGGTGTATTTACTTACAAACATCCCTCTGAATTTTGCAGAAATTTTGGAATATTTAAAATAGTTCTCTCCAAGAATCTGTTCTTTATTTGATGTCCCAAAAATGTCAAAATCACATAGAAATATCTGAAGATGCCTCAAAAATGCCTCTATTTATGTATTATTATTCATGTATTTAGGAATTACAAAATTTTAAGAGAAAGATTAGTGGTGCAGTTTTTATTAATTATGTATTTGTATCATCTGGACCTGGAGATTTTTTATTCTTAAAACTTTGCAATGTTGACAACAGTTCATCTAGGGTAAGGGAATTGTATTAGGGTCATTTTCTGCTAATATCAGTGTTATTTCTTGTTCACTTGTCCATAAGTCTTGATAGTACTATTAACTTTGGTGTAAAGTTATTTAGACGTATCTTTTTATCTCTTTGCAATGATAGACTGAATTTTATGTAACTATTCTCTGCACTTTAAAGCATTAAATGACAATTTAATCTGGCCTCAAGTTTGCACAAGGAAATTTCAATTCCGTATCCTAAAGGTTAACAAAAGCTACTCCACAGCAGAACACACTATAAGCAAAACTACTGTCTCCTTCGCTTTGGTAATCAGTAAGTTAAATGTTTTTCATGGGTTCCAAAGCTTTCATTAATACTGCTTAGCTCAAAAGAATTCAAGTTGTGAAACTAGTGGGTGATGCCACTTACAGTGGAACTCCTTTTCTACACTTTTCTGGGCATTGATGAAAAGTGTAAATTGCAGGAAATGCATAAATAATAAACTTGGTACTGTCCTTTACCTTAACCCTTTACTGGAATTCTCTAGAAATAATGTAGGCAAATTACTAAGCAATGTATGGACATTTCTGTGACATAGTTTCCAGAAACTAAAAATATTCATATGAAAATCTTCAAAAAATATTCTGGTATCTTCCACACTGATTTGTATTTTCTTTCAATGACAAGGCAGTTCTTTACTTTATACACAAAGTTGATAATGAAAATCCATATTACTTCACCCAGGAAAAATAAATCCCCATGCATGTCAACATCTCATGGCCTGTTGATTTTTTTTGTGTTGTCAATGTTCATTATCAGATTTGCAAATTCAAATAAAACAACTGCAGTGCATGCAGCAGACTCTGTTAACAGATTAAATAATAACAACAGCCAACTTGAAAGCAATCATTTCAAAAGTTAAGTTGATACCTGGCAAAAATGACTTCACTTATTTGAGTAGCCAGTGGTTTGAAAGAAAAGTTGACCAGTCTCAC